TTGCAGCCGGAGCTGGTCGTAACCTGAAAAGTTCATTAACAGAAGCGTTCATAACCCGAGGTTCCACTGTACTAGTTTTAAGAATCAATAAAATAGAATTACAGTTGGATAAATTAGCTGTCATTTAAAGTCTAGCTTGAATACAATATGTGATTTTTTTTCAGAATGTAATTTTATTTGTAAACTGTTGTCTTCAAAAACTCATACCATGCTTTTTGTAGTAATAATAGTCATGCATTATTTAAAGTAAGTGAATAATTATTCACTTATTCATCTAAAAACAGGAAACAGTAAAAACTTAAATTTACCACTCTATCATAATTCCATGGTAAAAAAAAATTCATAATATGAAATCACATCTTTTCACAATGGCAAAATGAAAGATTTAATTTCATGTGCTTCAATATGATTTTAGTTATGTTTATTTTTCTGTAAGGAATACAAACATTTGGAAGAAATGTTGTTGTAGCTGGAAGATCGAAAAATGTTGGAATGCCTATTTCAATGCTTTTACATACTGATGGAGAACATGAAAGGCCTGGAGGTACAGTGAAGAACATTTTGCTTATTTTGTTGGAAACTTCAACAGGGAGAAAAGGGAAAGAGCTGAAGAAGACTTCATTCTTTATTGCCTGTGTGGTGAAACCAAGTTTATTTAGTCAGAAATAAGAGTTTATTTGGGGATAAGTTTATTTTGTGGATAAATAAATATCCTGCTGCCACTATTGCTAAATGATAAGCTTGCACTGATGTTATCCTCTTACTTTTTACCTCTTTTCCTGAATTTTTAAGATTGGAGGGGGGGAATTCTATTCTGTTTTGCACTTATTCAAAAGATCAGTTGTACATTAAAAAAAACCACAACTTTCTATTATTATTGCATGAACAAATAACATGGGATAACAGTTATGTTTGTTTAGAAATACAGAACTCCATCCTTATGCACAGATGATAATTCAGTTTTTCACAAAGACCACCAATGTCTTGTCTTTTCTCTGTACTGATTGTCCCCTTTTACTTTAGTCATTTTTTTGCTGTCATCTACTCCTCTGCTCTCTTTTTATACCACTCTCCAACTTTTTCCAGCTTTCTGCCCTGCCTTCCTAATAAGGAAGACTCCCATTAACCTGCTATTTAGTACAGTATAAGTAATCTATAATTTCTTCAGATACTCCTTCTCCTTCAAGTTTACCACTGTTATTCTTGCAGAATACAGTTTGAGCAGAAGTCTTTCTTTGCCTTAAAATGTAAACAAAATCTATATTTTCTGTGTTAAGAAAGCTAAGTCTTTCTACTATAGGCTGTAAAGATCTGGACAACCAAAAGGTGGCAGCAAAGAGATACAAAGTACTATAGCTCTGCTGCCACCTAGTGACATCCAAGTTTTTACAGCCCGGATCTGGTTGTCTTTTGTAGAGCATTTCACATTTTTCTTTCCGGGTATACAGGCTATTACAGACTTGACTTTCATACCTTACATGTATTATATCCAAGGGTGTGAAGGAAAAATCTTAGGGTGAGAGGCCAACTCATGTAGGCCAAGCTGAACTCCATTTCCTGATTTCTGTTTCTTGTTGACCAATAGCACCTCTGGAATTTGTTTAAAAAATAATCTTGTTCCCTTTTATTCAGCATATTGTCAACCTTAGACAATGTTTAGCAATACTGATTGCTACCTTAGAATGAGATGGCAAGCATCAATAAAGTTGGATGATTTTTTTATTATTTTAAAATGGATCCCCTGCCTTTGAATGGGGTGTTGTGGGCTATATTCCCAAAGCAGTCAAAACAAAAAAGGAGGCACAGCCAGAACAAAGGTTATATTTAATTTAATTGTCCTTTAAATGAATTAATGCCTTTGACTGCAAGGATAACGCGGAATGAAATATCTGTTGACGTTGATGTTCTACAAATGTTTAGTAATTTTCTTCTTCTATTTTAAAGCAATTTGGGGAGGGGTTTTGGAAGGGCACATATATCCCTGGGATCACTGGTGTTATGCACTTTTACTTAATTGGGTCCTGAAAATAAATATTTATAGCACAGAGCCTGGTGACATCTAATGAGTTACAAATGAAAGAAAGTGCTATAGTGCAAATCATTTATCTACATCAGGGTGGTAATTTTAATTATACTTGTAATTTAGCAACAATTTTTACTATTGTATGTGTGACAGGTGATGCTACCGTGACAATAACTCATAGATACACGCCAAAAGATCAGCTGATGATCCATACACAGCTTGCAGACATTGTAATAGTCGCTGCAGGTGAGGAGCACTGCCAGTCTTTAAATTCAGACAATAGATTTGAACATCAGTATTATGTTGTTTCTGTAATTCACAAATTTAACATGTTTTTGCTAAAGCAAAATGTGCTAAGATAATATGAAAATCAATATAGATATTAAGGAAATAGTAGTACGCAATTACAATTCATGCAAATTACATTACCTAAAATGGCCGTGGAGCATTCACCAAAACTACAACCTCCATTTACTATTCTTTATTTTTTCTTGGTTTGCTTTTTTTATTGGCAATTTGGCAGAACTCTTTTAAAAATAAAAGTGCCCTATTAACTACATCAGAAATAGACATGGTTTTGTGCCCCCCAAAGCCCCACATGTGTGCACACATATACATACCCTCATCTCTCAAGGTGGGGGTGTCTTGCATGAACAAAGATGCTATTCCCAGACTAGATGATAAAAACCCAGTCACAGTTATATCTACCTTTACATCTCCTAAACCCAAACACACAACTTTGCATACAGCCACACAATTTAGCCATGCACCCAAATCTATTACTTAATGAGACACATCATAAT